TACCTAGCAACAACTAAAACATCGGTGCGTTATCAACTTTGTTCTCATCCTAAATCCAAAACACTGTACCAGCTACTAGGAAGGAAATTAACTCTATCCCTGCCGAAACCAGGACACCTCAGAAGAGAAAATAACTATTGTTGCCTACAACAGTTTCTTTGATCGCCAGGATTAAAATTTTCTTTTCAACTATTTCAATATTTTTTTTTCTTTTCTGGTATAGTAGCCCTTCATCCCTCCATTTTCATAGAATTTATATAATGTAAAATTTTCATCTCCCGACATAATAGTACTTATGCAGTTCTACTGTTTTTTGGATTTTAGATTTCTTCAGCATCCTGACCTTATAGGCTTTATTCCTATATTGATGTTTATAGTCAATGGAATATTCCAGAATTTTAAGCTGTGATTTGATTTCATAGAAATGTTAGAAATATAATTTGAAAGCTTTTATTTGTAATTAAGAATTTTTTCTTTCACTTTTAATTAAGTTCCAAATGATATTTTGTTGCAAAATTGCAAATTATGCATGTGCATTACACAAATATAAAATGAAATTATGAAGGAATTTCATAAAATGAAATTATGAGAAGTTTATTCTTGTCTTTGGAACTTGGCTAATAGTGTTTCCTGTGAACACAGAAATGAATTTTTAATCAGTCTCAAAGACAAAAACATCAGTACTGCTTATGCTGCTGCTTCATTTTCCTTTCATTATTTCCTGAATGACTGAAAATATTTTAATTGGTTAGAAGAGGGGTAAAAGTAAATATCAAAAAGTTCATTGTTTCAGTAATACAGTACCTTTCTCCAAGGAATCATTGTCCATTCTTTGTGAATTGTGTATCCTAAAAATTTCTGAATGTAGCAATGGACTTTATGCTCAAATAGCATTCCAAAAGCAAATGCTTAATGAGGGTGTAGTACCTCTTAGCTAAGTAATCCATTTTCCTAAAATTCTTCTAGCATTTTCTTTCAAAAGCAATTATTTTTTGAAACATGAAAATACATATTTTAATAATTTTAATTTTTTTTTACATCTAAAATAGATCATCTTTGGTTTCAGTACTGTCTACATACTGTATATATTCAGCTGTATATGTGTTTAAAATAATCTTCTGTCTGTGCCCAACTAAAAGTGATACAGTACCTTTTCTCTGAGGATCTTCACTAACTCATCATGTATTAGGTGACCTGAATCACTAACTGAAGTCCATTTCCAAATTTTCTCTAGTTTATCCCAAAATTTTATTTCATCTAAAATTTTAATTCTATATTACTGGATTATTTTGTTCTCTTTAGCTATTATTTTTGGTAAATCTCTTGGAATTATTATATGATGATAGTATAGGTTTTTTAATAAAAATCAGATATACAGTTGACAAAGGCAGAAAAATATAACTCAAACTATGAAAAGGAAATTCAAAATAATTTGTCTGTTGTCAACTTCAAAAAGATGTAATGCTGACTTTTAAAATACTTTTTCAGAATGAATGTATTTCTGGAAAGAGAAATGGATAAGATAGAAAATGAATTATTTCTTTGGAAATGGAAATATGAAGAACTGAGACAAACCAAACTGGATAGCCTGAAACAGGTATGTTAGCAGTACATCGTTATCACATGGAGTAAGAAACAATATTGAGACTTCTGATTTCTTGTAACTAAGAGTAAAATCATATCTAGGGTTTATGAAAGTGATAAATGGTTGATTTATCAACTATTTATCCCTGTAGCCTGGGGGGAGGGACCTGCCGAGGGTGTGTGGAGAAGCCCAGCCCCGGCACAGCCACCATGTCCTGCCATGGTGGCACAGGTGCTGGGGAGCTGCGAGGGTGGCACTAGGGTAGCTCTGTAGTCTCACAGGAAGGGACCAGCCAGAAGAGGCAGGTGCTGGTGCCCCGTCTCCATGTGTGGTGAGGGTGGTGGCCCTGATGTACAGTGAGACGTGGTCAGGGTTCAGCTGGACTTGTGTTTGGACAGAAGGGGCCCATGCAGGGCAAGGGGGTGTGTGGGGAAGCCCCGCCACCATAAGGACATTGCTGCCAGGCTACCGAGTGGGCATGGTGGGGGTGGCAGCCTGGCAAGAAGGGGGGCGGCATCCTCAGAGGTGGTGGGGGCATCCCCAGATCCAGGCTGTGGCCAAGAGAGGTGAATCCTGGTTAGGGAGAGCTGAGTGCCCATTCAGGTGGCACTGTGGGAGAGCTGTGTAGCTGCCAGGTCCAGCACACAGGTCCCAGGCTGTATCTGTGGGGAACGGTGGCTTGTCCAGCAGTTTGCATGTGGGAGGGAAATGTGCTGACGGCAGCATGAGACACATCAACAACAGTAGTGGCACACCGTGGGACATGATCCTCAGCATGAGCTGGGGCTGCTGTTGCTGGCACAGTAGAGACCTTGGCTCAGAGATGCTAAGGGAGGATGCAGGTCCCCAGGCTTTGGGCTGCAGGCAGTGCCTGATACCTTCCCTTGAGGTTGGGGCAGGGGAAAGGGGTGTCCATGCCTACAAGAGGTGTACGTTGATTGAGGAAATGTGTTGCCCCTTTTGAGCTGCAGGAGGAAGTGAGCAGGCTGGGCAGGCTCAGGGAAGGTAAGGAGGAGATTAACAGGATCTTCACAGGGTCCCCAGAGGTAAGAGTCTGACCCACACAGGAGGGGCAGCCAGAGACCACAATCAGTTGAGAGGTAAATAGAGTCCCATAACAGGAAGGCTGGAAACTTATGATCTCCAGCAAGTGGAGGATGGCTCTTTTTCCACGTGCGGATCTGCAGTTGCAGAATAGGTTCAAAAGTCTGGTAGCAGGGTAGGAGAAGAAAGCCATGACTGGGGAGGCATCAGAGCCAGCTTTAACCTGAACTGTGCATTAACATCAGGAGGAAGCAGTGAGTGGTAGTAGTAGGAGACTCCCTCCTGTGGGGAGAGAAACCCCTGTGTCCCCTCTTGCCTTTTTGAGCGTTCTATGGCTTGCTGTGGGCTTGGATCCAGAACATTGCAGAGAGATTGCCAAGGTCTGTCCAGTCCTTAGACTACTCCTGTTCCCTGCTGCTCATCCACATGGGCACCAGCTCAGGGCATACTGGGAATGGCCACACAGCTCTGGGGTTGAGGTCGTGGAGACTCAGGTGTTGACTCCTTGATCCAACAATCTGACCAACCTAATGAGGAGAGCTTTGAACTACGAATGGTGGGGGTGGCAGATTACAGACCACAGTAAAGTGAAGAAGTGGTGCTCAGGAGTGGAAAATTCAGGATGTGGGTTGATAAGAGCAAGAAAGACTTCAGGAATGATAAAACAAGGTGAAGGGACACCTGCCTCAAGTGTTGGTACAGAAATGCACGCATCCTGGGAAACAAGCAGGAAGAATTAGAGCTGTATGGGGTTACAGAACTATGATATTGTTGGAGCAATTAAGATACTGTGCCATGTTCATGCAACTGGAGTACTGTGAAGGACTTCAGGAAAGACTGGCAAGGAAGGGCTGGGGGGATGGAAGTTGCCCTCAGATCTATAAACAGCTCAGATGTTTTGAGCTCTCCTGCAGGATGGATGATAGTCAGACTTGTGGCTCAGGATCAGAGGAGAGGCCAGTAAGGGTGACATTGTGGTGGGAGTTTGTTACAGGCCACCTTGATGAAGCAAATAAAGTGTTTAAAGAACTCAAGTCTCTGAGTTGTAGACCTTGCTTTTCATGGGGGACTTACTGTACAACTGCTAGAAAGACAACATGGCTGCTGTAAAGAGATTTTTGGAGGGTTTCAGGAATAATTTCTTGCTGTAGGTATTAAATGGACCAACCAGTGGAATGGCATAGCTGGATCTGTTGTTGACTAATTTGAAGGAAACTAGCTGGGCATGTGATGATGAATAATTTCTTTGTCTGTAGTAACTTTGAAATAGTGGTGTTCGTGGTCCTGAAGGAAGTGAGAAAAGCAAGTAGCAGAGTAGAGACCCTGAACCTAAGGAAAGCAGGATGTTGGCTTAGTCAGGGAACTGTTGGGTAGGATCCCATGGGAGGCAGCTCTGACTGGTAAACAAAGGAGTTCACTAAAGCTGGCAGGTCTTGAAGTACAGGATCTTCCAAGTGCAACAAAGGTTTGCCCTAATTCTCAGGAGAAAAGGTAAATGTGTCAGGAGACTGATTTAGCTTAGCAGGGAACTCTTGGTGGAGGTCTGATGCCAGAAAGCAATGTAATTTTATAAAGGAGATCAGCCTTCAAAGGAGTAATTTAAGAACATTGCCTGGTTATGTAGGAATGGTGTTAGGAAAGAAGTGCTCATTTCAATCCAAGTTCTTGAGTAGAATAATAAGAAATATTTGTGTTGCAGCTTTCAGGATTTATCTTTCAGAACAATGGGTTGAGGACCTCTTAGATCCAACAAAACTCAAAATATGTATCTATATAACTAAATATAGATAGAGAATTTAAGATTTCCTATAAACTTAACATCTCAGATTTTGAATAATCCAGGAAAATTAATTATCTTTCTTTTCATGTTTTGGAAAAGATTGCAAGCAGTCTGTTAAATTCCAAGTTCTAGTTACAAGGTGGTGCATATGTAAATGGAATTTCCTTCATAGATGAACATCCACAGCATCTATATAACTAAATATAGATAGAGAATTTAAGATTTCCTATAAACTTAACATCTCAGATTTTGAATAATCCAGGAAAATTAATTATCTTTCTTTTCATGTTTTGGAAAAGATTGCAAGCAGTCTGTTAAATTCCAAGTTCTAGTTACAAGGTGGTGCATATGTAAATGGAATTTCCTTCATAGATGTACATCCACAGCAACAAATTTAACATCTATCTGTCATACCTGAGTTCCTTTAGATTTCAGTTCTTTATTTTCTGCCTGCGCATTAAGTAGGATTTTAGCTTGTCATACTTCTGCACAACAGAGGAAGTCTAGTTTTAGTTAATTGTTTTACTTAAGAAAAGTAGTCTTTATGTTTTATGGCACTGTCAGCAGGAATAGAACAAAAAGAGGTAAAAACTTTCTGAGAATTAGTTGGAGATTGATAGATTCCAATTTTTGTATATGTGCATGCATATACATATATATATGTGTTCCTGTTTTCTTCTTGGGAACATACTGAATTGCTTTAATTGCTAACAGGAGGTGATATTTTGAGCATTCTGTTTGTCTTCTGAGATTTATAAGACTTATACATGTAGTTTTTAAATTATAGGAAAACTTTGGTCTTGATGAATCTGACTAATGTGAATTAAATTACTTACATTTGTGGGTTTTTTTGTAAGTGAAAATTCTTCCTTTATTGAAAAAAAAAATCTTGTGTGTTGGCGATATGTGTGTGAATGTCACTTACTATATATTACTGTTGAGAACTGGATGCTGGAACACCATACAAGGTTTTTGACAGTGAAAAATTTGAAAGTGAAATAAAGGAAAGTGTAGACACGTACTAGGCTAAGCATGGAATCTGATTTGTAGACACACTTGCAATATTAAATCACAAAGGAATTTCTAGATTAATAACAGATTAATCATTACCTCTGGATTATTTTCATGTCCTTAACTAAGAGTTTTTGGTTTCAGTCATGCATAAATTAATCTGCTATTTCCTTTGGTAGATCACCTGACAGTCCCACTGGGAATGTGGAAAAAAAAATCTTGGTTTACAAGTGACAATGCCACTGCAAATTAAACCATTTTTAGGAATGGCTAGCTCTGCTAGTCTTTTGGAAGTTTGAGAGGTTTTGTGTAATGTTAGAAACATCACAGCTGCCAAGTTTTGAGTATTAGTGCTCCCAGTAACCAATTATTTTCTGTGAAAAGATGAGTATTCACTCACCTTGGAACAAACTAAATATGAAAAGCCTTGGTGATCTTGATAATCATCTTTTTTTAAAAAATTATGCATTCTGCATCAATTTGGAAATTGTAAAAAAGTTTTCAATGCATTGAGTTAACTAAAAAAAGTAGTAAAGTGGCAATTTATGTTTGTAGTAACTACAAGCATTATATATAGCTTTGTGTGACACTAGCATTGAACTTGTCCTGTTTGGGGTCATAAATTAGATCATTTTAACAAATACAACAGGAAGTTGCATTTAGTGTTGAAATTGATAATTTCTTTTTCTGTTATAAAAATTCTGTTCTCCCATTAAATAGTAAAATAAGAAGTTAAGATTAACACTTACAAGCTTATTCAAATCTTGATTGATGTTTGACAGCACTCAGTTTCTTTATTTGCAAGCAGTCAAATGTCATCTGTTTTTACAGCACACGATTTTGTCTGTTTCTCTAAGGACACTCAGAAGTCCTTATTCATTTAGCTTTCTCTGGCCTTTCCTAATTTCAAGTATTCTTTCATTATAACAGTTTCAAACCAAGTCCTAATTGGCTATTCTTAAAGATTACCTCCTCACTACAGATTAGGGCTTAAATTTTACCTTACTTGGCTGACTAGATAGTGAAAATTGTCTTGGCTTTCTTTAGAGAGCTAGTGAACTAAGACTTTATGTCCATCAAATATTTTTCCAGGGAGAAAGGAAGTGGAGTGTCCCTTCGTTACATTTTGTGTTTATTGCAGGAAAAATGTATTGTACTATCTGGAGCCTATCTTACA